TTATACCATCCATATCATTTTCATTTAACCATTTTCTTTTAGGATATAAATAAGCCTTTTATAGGGAAGAATGAGGCCTTGGGGTCACAAAACATATGTGCACCTCCATACACTTTCTTTTAAAGCCTTCATATTTTTCTTTTGGGAGATGGGGACTGTTTTATCCAAAATGGAGAAAGATTAAGATATGGAAGCCAGAGATTTACTTATTCCCAGAAAATCACAACTTGCATTGTGCAGTTGCTTTTTTCTTCATTTTCATTTTATATTGGTTTGCTTACAAAGTTGTATAGACATTGTGTTTCACACTGTAAGGATTCAGGTTGGGGGTCTTGTTGAGGAAAAAAGACCCTCAACAAGATGGATTGATACAGTGGTCTTGAGTTATGACGGAGATTGTGACAATGGTGCAGGATAGGGCAAGTTTCAAATCTGTTGTTCAGAGGGTCACTATATGTCATAGTCAACTCAATTCCACCCAACAATAAAGACACTACTAGTTTAATATCTTAAAAGTCTTTGGAGCTGATAACCTCATTTGTACATCTGTATATAAATTCATGAAGAAGAACATTCTAGGTCTGTTGTTAGGTGGTGTCAAGTAAAACTTATAGTAACCCTAAAAACAACAAACCTGAACTCTTTCCCATACTGTGCCATCCTCAGCATCTCTGACAGGCTTGAGCTCACCGCAGCAGTCAGTGTATCAGTCCATCTCAACGAGGTTCTTCCTCTCTTTCACTGACCCTCCTTCCACCTTACCAAGAATGATGACCCCTTCCAAGGAATAGCTTCTTCTAGTAACATACCCAAAGTATGAGAGAATGAAGTTTTGTCATCTTTGCCTCCAAATGCTGTAATTTTTCCAAGACATATCTATTTGTTCTTTTGGCATTCCATGGGATATTCAGTGCTCTTCTCCAATCAAAGGCATCAATAATTGTTCTATCATCCTTATTCACTGTCTAGCTCTCAGAAGCATAGGAAGTGATTGAAAAGACTATGGCCTGAATCAGACAAACTTTGGTGTCAGACTGATATAACTATTCTTCAGTATTTTAGAGATGTCTAATGCAGTCCCTCTCCTGACTGCTGGTACCAATCAAGAATGATGACTGTTGATCCAAGCAAGATGAGATCACTGACAACGTCAATCCTTTCTCCATCATGATGTTGCTCTTGGCCAAGTAGTGAGGATTTCTGTTTTCTTGATATTGAGATGTAATCCAAGCCTATCAGGTGTAGTTAAATTCCTAATCATGTCTCCTGACTGCTGATATCAAGGGTGCTAATTGTGGATTCAAGTAAAATGAAGTCATTAACAATCACAACCTTTTCCCTATCTATTAAACTCTCTTCACTCCTATCCCCATTGCCAAATTATACCTTCTCACTGTGAAAAAAAACCAAGAATACATAAAAGAGTGAAAGAAAAGAGAAATGGAGGTGAGGAAAACAAAAAAAAGAATGGAAAAAGGAGAGAATATATAGAAAGCAGAGAGATCTTTATATTCCTGAGATCATACGATACACAATACAAGTAAAAACTTTATATCGTGCCTTTTTTTCTCTTAAGAATGATAAACTTTAATTCTTGTCACTACATCAGACATCCACATGCATTATCTTTGTCTTCATTTCAAATATTTATTTTCCTCTTTACAGAGATTCTTAAAGTAGAATTCTATGGCAAAAGGTAGAAAAATCTTAAAGGCTCTTTTAGCCTCTGTACATGGTCATGTGGCTTTCCATAAAGGTTTTACAAGTTTCTGTTTTCTTCAACAAAATAGGATTAGAGAGGAATTTCTTCAACACAGTTAAAAGTATTTATGCAAACCTGAGAGCCTGTACATTGTTCTCAATGGAGAGAGGTTAAAGGCATTCCCTTTAAGAACAGGAACTAGGCAAGGATGTCCACTATCATCTCTCTTATTCAATAATGTATTGGAAGTCTTAGTGATAGCAATAAGGCAAGAGAAGGGAATAAAAGGTATCCAAATTAGCAAAGAGGAGGTAAAATTATCTCTCTATGCAGATGATATGATAGTATACTTAGAAAACCCTAAAGACTCAGCAAGAAAACTACTGGACACAGTGGACCAATTCAGCAAAGTAGCAGGATACAAGATCAACATACAAAAATCAGTTGGATTTCTGTACAGTGACAAAGAGAATACAGGGCTGGAATTCAGAAAAACAATACCATTCACAATAGCTAATCACAAGATTAAATACTTGGGAGTAAATTTAACCAGAAGCACATAAGATCTATTCAAAGAAAATTACAAAACATTACCACAAAAAACAAAAAGAGACTTTGAGAAGTGGAAGAATATCCCTTGCTCATGGATAGGAAGACTCAATATTGTAAAAAACGGCAATCTTACCAAAGGCAATCTACATGTTCAATGCAATCCCAATACAAATACCAATTCCATTCTTCAATGAGATGAAAAAGGCAATTTCCAATTTCATTTGGAATGGAAAAGAGGCGCCAAATAAGCAAAGCACTCCTTAAAAAGAGAAACAAGGTAGGAGGCATCTCACTCCCTGATTTCAAATCTTATTACACGGCTGTGGTGGTCAAGACAGTGTGGTATTGGTACAATGACAGACACATAGATCAATGGAATAGAACTGAGAACCCAGAAATTAGCCCATCTACCTATGGTCAATTGATTTTTTACAATCTTTGTAAATAGGAATATTTATTATCAGAAGTAGTGAAAGAAACATGAAAAAACGTAGGCAGCCATTTTATATTGTTCAGTGAGCACTGAATACATGATACTATATTAAGAAGTAGAGCCAACCAGAGGCAAAATCTCAAAAGAACCTAAGGGTTTTTTTCCCGTGGTTTATCTATGAGTCCACACCCTTCCTTTTCTGTGTGTACAGTCAAAACTTCCAAAACCTTAGCCTTGACCTGGTCATAGTTTATCGCATTTTGTGCTTGACTAAGACCTGAATTCTACCTCATACTCAGGACCTTTCTTGGTCTGTTTCAAGAGATTAGGCTTTTAAGAAAACATTAGTATTTAAAAGGAACTCACTGCCTAAAGGAGTAGTAGTTAGTGGTGGAAACTATCCTGTGATAGGAGACACAGAGGCAAAGATTCTGGGTTATATGCAACTTTCTCTAATAATAGTCAGGGCTAGCTTTTCACAAAGAACTAAGACAACATCTATAACTAGACATCTAAAATTTCCTCATCAAGCTGGAGTAAACTGAACCTGAGCACACACAACCTAATGCAAAAGGTCCAATTACCTAATTATTTTTAAACCACATTAAAGATACAATAACACAAAATATCTGAAGCACTATCTATATAATGCATTTATATAAGAAATCATACTGAAATTATCTTATAAGCTAATTTTCTTCTTCTGAAGGCAATATGTGAAGTTTTATTGAAAAGTCTGGATTTTTTTTCTTATGACAGACAACTGATCTTGATCAAAGAACCTACAAAATTATTTTCTTTAATATTAATTATGTCTTTTCTAGTAGAATACCATACATATACAGGACACACAAATATTTTATATTTAATAGGAGGAAATAATAAAAAACAAACCCTGTCACTTCTGCTTCCATTCAAGTTGGATGATATGTAATTCTTTCACATATATATAGTGTGTTATTTTAAAATTTGCTTCTTGTTCCCCACTAGTTTCCAACTTATCAGTAGTGGGGTGCCAGAATGAACTATCAATTTCTTTATCAGTTACAAAGTAGAAATGTCAACCAGAGAGTTCTATTGTTTAATCAGTGCACCATTCATTTGAAAGAACTACTTTTAAAAGTTGTTCACATATATTCTGTACTTTATGAGCTATAGCTTAAGAGTTGATAAAAATCTAAATCCAAAAGCACATATTAAATCTAATAATAATCCATCTAATTTTGAAGGTGCTGATTAGTGTCAACACCATATTATATTTAATTTTTAGAAATTCAATTTAGAAATATTAAATTTCAATTTATAAATATTAAAAACTGTGTTAAAGGTAAAGACTTCAGAAATTCTTTGGAGAAACAAGACACCCAGAATATCAGAATACAAAAGAATCTTTGTTTGAAATATAAGAGAATTTTTGTTTGACATAGGGACCTCTCCAGAAAAGAACAACGATGTCAGTCTGCAGACTAAGGTGTGCCTGATCCAGGCCACGGTTTTCGCAATTACTTGCTATGCACCAGAAAGCTGGACAATGACTAGGGATGATAGACGGAGAACTGATGCCTTTGAGCTGTGGTGCTGGAGAAGAGTATTGAATATACCATGTACTGCTAGAAGAAGAAACAGGTTCATCCTGGAGAGGGTGAAACTAGGCTGCTCCTTGGAGGCAAGGATTCTGAAGCTCCCTCTGACATACTTTGGCATGTTGCAAGGAGGGACCAGTCCTTGGAAAGGGGCATTATGCTTGGGAGGTTGGAGGAACAGCACAAGAGGGGAAGACCCTCGATTAGATGGATTGACTCAGTGACTAGGGTAATGGTGGTAGGACTGTCAGAGGCGATAAGACTGGTTCAGGATAGAGCAGGGTTCAGAGCTGTTGTCCTATGAGTCACAAACGACTCAGTGGCACATAACAAGATTATCCTTTCAGCAAACGTCTAAAAAGTTACTTAGAGTGCTAAGAAGGATGAATTTAAAATTATTTTACCATTTTATGACACAAATTAGGAGGATCTTCACAAGAAGGCATGAATAACTAAAGGAAGCAATAACGGAAAAAAGAAACCCATTTTTTTTTAATATCTTAACCTGGATTGCCACACTCATGGCTCTCTCCACAGGCTCTAGAGGTGGGGCTGAGACACTTTTCTCTTCCAGGAAGACATGAGCCCTGCTGCTGTCAAGGGTGCGGGAAGTTTAGCTGACTCTGACCCTCTTCCTCCTTTCTGAACTACTCTACATATTTAAAAAAAATACACAATTAAAACATAACTCTTAGAGATGCATGAGATTTAACCAAGGTGGAGTACTTACATTCACACTGTATGACATCTAAGTTGAACTGCTGAACAGCTCCCATGCTTATCTGTTTTAACTCACTGTCCAGTAACATCTGCATTAAGGATGTTGACAGATGCTGGCAGGCTGACATGCAAGCTGTCTGGGCGACTTTCCCCTGTTTAAAATAAACAACCAAATAAAAAACTAAATAATTACACACAGAATTACATCAGAAAATAGAAAAGAATTATACCTGACATTCTTTTTTATGTTAGTTTTTTAAAACAGTGTTTCTATATTCTAGTGGCTATGTCTTTATCCAGTGGCAAGAAGCTTTGCTGTAATCTCAAAGATGGCAATCTCCTCCTGTGCGATTCCTGCTCTGAAAACCCACTGAAGGTTAAGCTATGGATCAGTTCTGACTAGATGGTACACAACAACAATAATTCCTTTATCATAGAAATCAAAATCAATCTTGTGTACTTATCCTTCTCAGAATATAAATATCATTGAAGCCCTAACAAGACAAGGGAAAATTAAAATACAAACTAAAAATTACCACTTTTCTATTCTCTTGAAAATTATCAAGTACTTAAAATACACAGTAAAATATGGTGTTTATGAAACATAACAACTAGCATACTGTCTGAATCCATAATATGCCTTTTAGGTTTTCTTCATATAATTTACCAAGCCAGAAGAAGCTAAAAAGCAGCTTTACAACTTAAGTTTTATTTATGCAAAAACTCAGAATATACTTCAAGTAAGTCCCTGTTCCTAGCTAGTGTCTTAATTTGTAGCTCAGTTTTAATTAAAGGGGTGGGGGAAGGTAGATAGGAGAACTTTGTCTACCAATATACCCCCTAAAACCATCAATAAGTATGTATCAAAAATTAGGTTTGATAATCATCTGATAATTTAGAAATATGTAGTTAAGTAAATCACAAAGTGTGTGATTTTCTTTCACCATACACAGCATTATTATAACATTATTTTCTACTATAATAAGCCATTAAACTCTCTATGAACTTTCACATTTTAAATTATATTTTTTTTAAATTGCAAAAATGTTTAGCTTCTAGATAACATAATTAAGTCAAAACACTACATAATTTTTAGCAGAAATTGTTCCTTTAAATAGACTTTACATCTCAATTAGAAGTTTAAAAGTAAGTATTTTAAAATTTCTTAGGTAAAGTTTTATAGAGTAATATTGTCCTTAGTACAACTGTTTCAATGGACAAATAAATGTTTTGTTAATAGATTTAAAGGCTCATGATTATTATTAGAAAGCATGATTTTAGAAGATGTGTCATATTTGGTCTCATCTATTCTAGCAAATTGTTATCTTCTGATATTTGGCAATTTTGGTTTTTCCTACTTATCATAAAGGCCAACAAAGCTATAGAAGACTATGAAAAAAACCCTTCCAAACATAAATGCTAAAACAGATTGGTACAAAAACATGTATTTATATAGAATGAGTTTGTCAGAAAGCCAAGAAAACAAATCTATTTTCAAGATGTTTAAGAAAAACACTTGTTCTTTACACATGTAAAATCAGGCTAGAAACAACGAATCTTTCTTTATGAATGAGTCTTTAGCATTTAGACCGTATGCACAGTGAAAAACTACATATATGAAATGGAATGTCAATTTCTCAATCAAAAACTTTAGATATAAAAGCCACTGCAAACAATATATCTGACAGATACTGATGAACTGCCAAAAAGGAATGCAACAAACAATGCAAAACTCAGCATGCTTCAAGATACCAAACCCCAGAGGAATTAGTTTGGGTGACATGCAGCTCCATTCCCCAAGCAGAATAATAACAATATGAATGGGAGGGGAGACAGAAAAAAGCAGAAACCAATGGCATGCCATTTAATAACAATGTAATAGGCTTGGGCATACTTAATGAAAATGTCTTTTTTTTTGACATAATGGAACAACCAGTGCATTTTAGCTTAATGTACTTCTCCATCAATTCAGCTCCTCATCCTATTTATGGTGCATTCTAATGTAGAAACACAAAACCTCTCCAATCAGTACATTCACTAAGAAAAATTAACTATTAATTTCATAAGCAAATATACCTCATAATGTAAATGGTATTATTTTAAACAAAAAATTTAAAAATTTAATATTGATTCAGAAATTACAAATTACTATATATGAATATTACTGGAACTGAAAATGATGGCAAGAGTACAAAAACAGACTATTTCATAAACCTTCTGGAAATGGGATAAAAACACACACATGTAAAAACACATTTTCTTTATTTATAGGAAAAAATGTAATAAAACATTAATTATTAAATTTACTTTGGTTGGGCACTCCTTAGGCATTACTAAATACAGGCTTATTGTTCCCAAAAATAGACATTCAGAATAATTGCAAGTTATATGGAGTAATTTCTTCCTGAAATTTCAAAGCTTAGAGTTTAAGTCAGTATCTTAAAGCTTCAGAGTTTGAGAATTTTTAACAAGTTATTTAAGATATTTCTACATATTATTTTTTAAATGTCAACTACCTTACTAAAAAATTTGTACAAATATTCTGAAATTCTATCTACTAGCTATTTTCAGATAGAATTTTTTAATGCTCTAAAAATGTCCATACGCCAGAAAGACCTCTGGAAGTTTATTTAGGATGCTTGTACCCCTTGGCTTTGTTGGTGTAACCCAAACACCCTTTTGAGTAGCATTATTGCTATTAATGTTGAAGCTTCTAATAATTTGTTTTCTAGAGTAAAATACCAAAATATTTTTATAATTATACTTTAATAACTAGCCCTCTTTGCTAGGAAAGCTTTGGTCTTTAATTCTATAACAAACATAGCCAAAAGAATAAAGTGACAGGACAGAGAAAACAGAGCACATTTAATACATTTCAAGCACCTAGGAATTTCTGCTGTCCTCCTCCTAAAAATCAATTGCAATTACCAACATTTTATTTTTCGTAACAGCACAAAGCTCAAACAATAAGTAAAAACACCTGCTAAACTTTTAAAGGTAATAACTTTTTTACCCTGTTCTAACATTTTGCTAAAAAACAACTTGTAAAGAGAGAAAACCCTTAGACAAACTTCTTATATTTCAAAGGAACTTGTAAAAGAGAATCTGCTGACATATTAGATCCTTTTTGCATTACCCCAAAGCTTTTCTTTTAAGAACAATTGTGGTAAAGAGACATTTGGCTCCTAGGAAATTCCCAAAGGGTCAACCATATGCATCCTTCCATGGCACCTTCACAGCGCTGCTTTCTAGATCCATGTCTCAAAAGCAGCTTTCATCATCTACTTGTGTGTCAGTCAATATGATTTATGGACTGCATTCAACAAAGTCAAAGCATATAGAATGAGAAATATGACTACAATCTGCTAATTTGTTTTGTATTGAGCCACTTAAGAGTCAAAGACCTGATGTCAGACTGAGAACTGCAACACAATTAACCAGCCGGTGACAGATTCATCCATCCTCCCTGCCAGGCTGTGCCAATCAAAGACAGCATGAGGCGACATTTGGTGAAATCAGTAAGAAAACTCATTCTCTAAGTAACCTATGTGAGCCCATGATTGACACTTTTTGAATTTAGCTGGTGGAACACAGCCACTCTTTACCAACAGTCCCCCACTGCAAGCTGTGAAATAAGGCTTTTAATGCCAATCACAGGAACAATAAACCAAAACCCACCAACCCCTAGTTTAAAAGGAATCAGGAAAACTCATCTGTTTGTATGTCAAGCCAAATTTCCAAAATAATTTACTATTATAAATTAGGCTAAAGATATTCTATTTCATTTGAAATATCACAAAATGACATGGTAACAAAACCAGAACACTTTTTATTAGGTTATGGCTCAACTGTTTTGTTTTCAAAGTAATGTTTTGATAGATTTAGTCTAATAGTAAGAGAAATATAGAATACTTAAATACTAATGTGGCACATTTAAATTTTCATTTGACGTCTTCATTTCTGTCACACTATTCTCTTATTTCAAAGAGCTAATAAAAAGGAAGTTTTTATTTTAACAGTAATTATTTGAAAGCATTTCTCAATGCTGCTTTCATTCTGTCAAATACATTTAACATAAAAATGTGTTTTTGAAATCACAACCATTCTACCCGCCCTCAATGATCACACGAGAGCCCTTTCTTCATATATATATATCCCCACAAAAGGTTAAATCAGCACAGTAACTAGTCTTTTATTTACAAAATAAAAATAAATATGTAGACTAAGAAATGTGGTACATTGCATTTATCATTCTTCAAATTAATAAGGATTTTGTTTTAAAATGTTTTGTGACTCTTAAGAGGGTGATGGAGAAGAAATGAAACATACTGAACTTGGATATTAAACCCAGCATTAAGGGGAGCTCTGGTGGCCTAGTGGCAAGAAGCTGCACTGCAATCCCAGAGGTGTTTGGTTCGAATCCACCAGATGCTCTGCCGGGAAAGGAGGGACAATCTCCTCCTGTACCAGTCAGATCTGATTTGATGGTACACAGACACACAAAATAATAATAAAATAAAAACAAAACAAAAAAAAACCCAGCACTAAATGAACTTACTAATTATGATCCTGTCTTTTAAAAATTATTTCAATTAAAGCAATATTTCTGTATTCTATAAACTTACTGTGCCTCTCAGTTTGCTACACAAATTGCAGTTATGAGATAGCAAAATGGTCTTTTCAAAAGGGAAAGCAAAAAAAGAAAAGATGTATTCTGATGAATTGGTCAGTCTCAGTTAAGTAAAAGCCACAATTTATAGTCTTTTCAAATAAACAGAAATATAGTGAGCACTTTCAATGTAAAGCAAACACTTAAACTAGAACTAAAAACTTCTTAATTAAAATAAAGTCTAGCTGGTATAGCAGGTCCAGGGCTGCATGTCATTTGAAACATGTCAATTGGTATACCATCTATTCCTAGAGCATTAGTTTCTGCACATGCCTTCGGTGCAGCTTGAATGTCTTCATTATCACAGGCTCTTGTTCATATGATACTTCCTGAAGTATTTCAGTGTCAGCCAATTCTATTTGGTACAGTGATTCTGTGTATCCCCTTAATCTTCTTCAAATGCTTCTGGTATCACTCAAGATTTTGCCCATAGTATCTCTAAGTATTGCAACACGAGATTTAAATTTGTTTTTCAGTTCTTTC